GAGCAGGGCTCCGGCATACAACCTCGGAAAGGTCTCACATCCTTGGTGGATTCTCTCGACCTCTTCCACACAGGTTAACGTCGTCGAGCAAAGGCTCCGACATACAACCTCGGAAAGGTCCTACATCCTTGGTGGATTCTCCCGACCTCTTCCACACAGGTTAACGTCGTCGAGCAAAGACTCCGACATACAACCTCGGAAAGGTCTTACATCCTTGGTGGATTATCTCAATCTCTTCCATACAGGTTAACGTTATCGGGCAAATGCTCTGACATATAACCTTGGATAGGTCTTACATCATTGGTGGATCCAATATTAGTTAATATCATCGAGCAAAGGCTCTGAAAAATAACCTCAGATAGATTATACATCCTTGGTTAACGACACCAGAATTTCGTTAATGGATTTCTACACAAAGTTAAATTTCTATTTGTTGTTGAATTTTCTCCTGTCGCTGAATTTTTTCCTTACAGGACTTTCGGCGGACTTCTACTCGACGTCGGACTTCTCCCTATCGTCGGACTTCTCCCTATCGTCGGACTTCTGCGTGCCATCGGACTACTACCTGTCAACGGACTACTGGCCGTCGAGGGACTTTCGTCGGTCTTCTACCCGACGTCAGACTTCCCCCTGACGTCGGACTTCTGCTCGTCAGCAGACTTCTACTCGACGTCGGACTTGTGCTCGTTAGCGGACTTCTACTCGTCGTCGGACTTCTGCCCGTCGAAAAACTTTCATCGGTCTTCTGCCTAAGGCCGTACTTCTACATGACGTCGGACTTCTCCTTGTCGTCGAACTTCTGCTCGTCAGCGGACTTCTACTCGTCGTCGGACTTCTGCCCGTTGACGAACTTTCATCGGTCTTCTGTCTGAGGCCGTACTTTTACACGTCGTCGGACTTCTACCCGACGTCGGACTTCTCCCTATCGCCAGACTTCTGCTCGTCAGTGGACTTCCACTCGTCGTCGGACTTCTGCCCGTCGACGAACTTTCATTGGTCTTCTACCCGAGGCCGTACTTCTACACGACGTCGAACTTCTCCGTATCGGCGGACTTCTACTCGTCATTGGACTTCTGCCCGTCGACGAACTTTCATCAATCTTCTGCCCGAGGTCATACTTCTACACTACGTCGGACTTCCCCCTATCATCGAACTTCTGCTCGTTAGCGGACTTCTACTCGTCGTCGGACTTCTGCCCGTCGACGAACTTTCATCGGTCTTCTGCCTGAGGCCGTACTTCTACACGACGTCGGACTTCTCCATATCTTCAGACTTCTACTCGTCGTCAGACTTCTGCTCGTCGACGAGCATTCATCAGTCTTCTGCCCAATGCCATACTTCTACCCGACTACGGGCTTTTGCTTGCCGTCAGACTACTAACCGTCGTCAGACTTTTACCCGTCGACGGACTTTCGTTGGTCTTGTACATGGCGCTGCACCTCTACCCGACTTCATACTTCTACCAGATGTCGGACTTCTACCAGTTAATAGACTTTCGTCGGTCATCTGCCCGACGCTGTATGACTACCCGACGTTGAATTCCTGCCTGTCATCATACTTCTCCGCGATGCTGGAAGTATGCCCGTCATTTCAACCTCCCTCCTTACAACGGTCTATCCGACCTTCATCGCCAACTAATTAACATCAGACCTTCGTTGAAAATCTCGAAGAAGAAGGGGGAATCTCCGGACTTCCTTGCCAAGAAGAGAGGCCTCGAAAAATCGAGGGAAGGCCTCAATAGTAAGGACAGAGGGAGAAGAGAAGAAGGGTGAATCTCCAGACTTCCTTGCCAAGAGAGGGGCCTCGAAAAATCAAGGGAATGCCTCAATAGTAAGGACAGAGGGAGAAGAGAAGAAGGGCGAATCTCCGGACTCCCTTGCCAAGAGAGGGGCCTCGAAAAATCGAGGGAAGGCCTCAATAGTAAGGACAGAGGGAGAAGAGAAGAAAGCAGAAGAAGAAAAGAAGATGGAATGATCATTCTAAAGGCCTCAGGGGCCTATTTATAGGATTTTGGAGAGAAGAGGGGAAGATTCTAGAGTTCTCCAGAAATTTTAATTTTTTGGAATTTTTCAGAATTTTTTTCGGAATTTTTTGGAATTTTCTAGGAATTTTTTGGATTTTTCAAATAAACGTGGGGCCCAAAAAAAAAATTAATTCTATGTAACCGCACGGCTAACCGCGCGGTCGCGCCGTTTCGCGCGCGGCACGCGGGCCGTCG